GCTCAGCTTATAGAGCGTTCGCGGTCAGTTCTAGAAGTGTCTTGGCGAGCACAGAGGCACTAGATACCCTAAACAGGACAAAGTCAGTGCGGATCTATTGGGTTCCCAGCCACCAAGGCATCAAAGGAAACGATGTGGTGGACGTACTAGCTAAGGAATGCGTCGGGCTTGAGAATAGGAGAACCGAGAACGTGCCTGTCTCCCTTAGAATGCTGCAAGGCGATCTAGAGAAGCAGGCTAGATCACAAATTGAAAGCAGGTGGAGAAGTACCACCGGCTGCAGAGCCTCGAAAATCATGTGCAAAGAACGCAACGACAAACTCAGCCACTACCTACTGCATCTACCACTAAAGAACTTTAGATTGTTAGGGGGAATACAAACAGGTCATTGTCTGGCTGCTGCTCATGCAACAACAGAAACAGTTGTAGGAAATGTGATGAACCTGGGGCAATCGAAACACTGGAACATTTCATCTGCAACTGTCCGGCTCTTTTAAGGGCAAGGAGGAAATACCTAGGCGCCCCACTGCTGTGATCAATGGAAGATGCTTCCAAGAGGACGCCACAGGAACTGCTGGCCTATGCTAAAAACACCTCGACCCTTTGGGAGTTTAAAATCACATAAACACTCCCGAGATGGTTCATACCCCCCCTATCCGTATAACTACGGACCATATTGGCCTATGCGTGGCCCCGCTGAGGGCCGTCCGGGTTAACCTAACCTAACTTACAGGCGGATGTTACTTACACCGAATTTAGTAAAGATAAACCATTCCCTTCTACCACAACCTCTCAACCGCCCAACCTCCTGAGATGGATTTCTAGCTATCTTTGTTTCAGGTCTCAAAGAATCCTCTTCAAAAACTCCCTCTCTTCACCAGTAAAGGTTTCTTCGGGAGTATCACAGTACCACACTCTTTATTAATGACTTGCCTTCGGTAGTTCGTCCGGCTATGGTGCCTTCAGTAAAAATTACACCAGAACCGTATGGAAACATTACGGAAAAACTCTTTACTCTTTTCTCTGCGGTTCATTAACTGGGATGCGGGTGTGAGATTGGCATCTTAATCTAGTAGCCTGCTATTATTAAGCCTCCCATCTTTAGTAAGTCGTAGAAAAATGCTTGGTGACGTAGATAGCCCTGATCTGTTGAGCCGCATAAACTTCACGATTCCTATTAGAGTCACTAGAAACCGTTGTCTCTTCCACTTTTTAGATCGAATTATTCCTTGCATTAACCGTTTAGGGTCTTATGCTCAGATTAGAATTCCCTCTACCATATTATATCCACCACTATAATCTAATATTTACTACTCATATACCTTTCTCGTAATTAGTAATTGTATTGGTATTTACATTTTGGCTGCATGCTTAGTTCTCCTAGTAATGCTTAGATCTAATTTTCCTCGCATATTAGTCTAACAGCTATCTTTCCTGTATGTTCGCGTTCGGTTCGGCTAACGCGTCGCGCGTCATGCGGCAGCGCCCCTCGGTCGGTAGGTCGGGAGGAGGGCTGGCATCCGCGCGTAACAGCCTTCTGCAGGTGTCACACGGGCGTCTTGACGGTGCAGTAATTGCATGAAGTTATTGCATGTCAACGTCCAATATATAATATAAATAAAATATTTTTTAAAAGTATTTTTAAAAATAAAATTTTTGCACAGGGTGTAGCTTTGTGGTCCCTTAAGCGAAAAAGATAAAAATCATGGATAATCATTATTTTTCAGTTTTATTTTTTTTTATCAAGAATAATGATGTCTAAGTCTAAGTTTTATCAAATTACTCAAAAATAATGATTATCAATGAAGAAAAACATAAAAAAATGGTATATAATCATTACCAAGTAATTTTTATTATATAACTTATAATGTTTACGGTCCCTGATATAAAATGGATTAATTATTTTTTCAAATTATCTTCCTTATTAAGCTTTTAATTTTATTTGATCTTGAGCTTTGTAAGAATAAAAATGTTCCACAAACTCGCTGACTGCAAGATTACTAACCTATTGGGCTTAAGCTTACATACCATTCAACAACAACAAACCGTTTCAATATTATTATGATTCCGTGCATTGACTATTCGCTCAAAAATGTTTATATTTTTTTAATAACAGGGGTTCACTTGCATTCACTATTTTTTCCATATCCAAAATATCTTTCAACGATGGTATTGTCGAGCCTGTTAACTTGAATAAAGGGCACACAGACATAGTCATGGAAAACGAGGGAGAACGTTGTAAGTTGCTGCTGCGACCACAACTCTACGTTTATACCCGATATATAGTCAGTATGGCTACGTTGAGCGACAACGAGTGCGTGCGGGAGAGACAGAAAACGTGTCAGAACATGTCGTCGGGCACTGCGTAGCCACTGCAAATTGATTTGTTACTTTGACTATAATAACGATGCGATCTGATCCAGATTCGGCAATCTCGTAGATATGGTCATTCTTTATGATTGTACGTTTATAGTTTTCTTGTATCTTTAATATTGTGGATGCCACAGATTTTCGTCCTTTGTGTGGGAGAAGGGAATGGGGCGACATTTTGAAATACACATGAAACAGTGAGATCTAACAGGAGTAAGGATACCAAATTTTGTTGCTCTAGCCTTAAAAGGCTCTAAGATCTGTGGATGCCACACAATTTCGCCCTTTGCAGGGCGAAAAGGGGTGGGGCGAATTTTTGAAATACACTTGTACAGGTTCGATATCACAGGAGTGTGGATATCAAATTTGGTTGCTCCAGCTCTTATAGTCTCTGAGATCTAGGCGAGGCCGACCATGAGAGAGACAGAGCGAGAGAAAATTAAATTTTTTTCATAATTCTGGCTAGAATAATACGATCTGGTGCAGATTCTGCATTCTATACGATTCTACGTTTTTTTGTTTTCTCGTATCATTAAAATTGGTGATGCCACAGATTTTCGTCCTTTGTTGTGGCCGAAGGGGGCGGGGCGAAGTTTTGAAATACACTTGTAACAGTGACATATCCCAGAAGTCTGGGTACAAAATGTCGTTGTCTGAGCGCTGAGCAATAGGCCCTCATAGGGACGAACAGACGAATAGAGAGACATGGCTCAATCGACTCATCTATTGATGCTGATCAAGAATATACCTACTTTATGGGATCAGAAACGCTTCCTTCTTGATGTTACACACATCCATTTGCACCAAAAATCTAATATACTCCTATACTCATTTTGAGTATCGGGTATAATTATGAACAAAAATCATATACTCATAGGGCGGTCTTCAACCGCCAAATACGAGTCTTGGCTAGATGATTTTGAAAAAACTGTATCTAAAAAAGTGTATTGGTATGAATCCTTCAAGATGATCCTTATGCATCTGCAAAAAAATTTAAGTGCAGCAGCTTGTTTCCTTTGGTCTGGTACTTATGTTATACTAGCGGGCCCAGCGAAGTTACACAGTGCTACATTGTGGTTGCATGGATGAAAAATTAAGAGCCAAAAAAAGCATACATACATACGTACTCTTTACAAAGATTTGTTGTTTGCGTAGGTGTAAAGTCGGGAGTACTCAACATTACGTTCCCATTTACGTCATCTTAAGTCATTCATCTCCCCTTCCCGTCGTTGCCGAATTCCTGTCATTTGCAGTTAATTGTCTCATTCGCCGTAGCCAAATTAGCACAATCTACAGTTTATCGTCTCCCGTTGCATCGGTTGCCGATTTCCCGCCATCTTCAGTTTTAGTTTCAGTTGATCGTCTTCCGTGCTCTACTGCTATATTAGAAAACCGTCTTTTTCTTTATTGGTAGTGTGACGACCTTAAACAAATTTGAGCTAACATTGGCTCTATTTAAACAGATACACGTTGATCTGTAATGACATCCCAATTATCAACATACTTGATACTTATGTAACCGTGAAGGTGGGTATTTTACTGACGCAAGATATTCCTTTAAGCTGATTATATTGTTTTTTTCTAAATTTAAGATCAATAAATTTTCAAGTTTTCAATATCTTTGTGCATACATGCACATAGAACTGTAACCTATACTAATGTAACAAATGTAACACTATACTGCTTATAGTGCATTGCTTCGCCCTTTTCTCAGTCAAAATATTCGTTGAACGGTCAGCATTACTACTCGCAGTAAAAATTTTTGTTATCGTAAGCCAGTTAGAATTGTCATCGAACGTTAGATCAGAGGTTCGATCAGATGTTAGATCAACAGATCAGAGGCATGACTTACAGGCATGTCTTTACACCTAATGCGAATATATTCCCAGATATTAAAAAATTTGAGCGTCGAAATGAGTTCAGTCATACATATGCTTACATTGCATGTACATTTTGACACACTACTCGTAGTTCACGGCCACGTCCCCTAACTTTGTAAATTAAAACATCGAACAATAAAACCCTATGTTAAAATCTAACAACGGAAAAATCTTATTCATAAATGCAACAGATCAGAGGCATGACTTGCAGGCATGTCTTTACACCTAATGCGATTATATTCCCAGATATTAAAAAATTTGAGCGTCGAAATGAGTTCAGTCATACATCATCCTGTGCATTTTAGAGAAATGAGAGTGGTCTTGGTCCCAAGGCCTATGTATGTAGATATATAAATAGATATAGATGATTCCATATTATCAGATACTCCTTAGCCACAATCGGCGAATTGGCTATTACACAATGTAACCTTGAAATCAAAACCCACTTTTTCTGATAGACTTGGGGCTGCGAAGTTTTTTTAATTTGCCTTTTGTTGGTTCGGATTGTAAAAATCTATGTGTAACATAGTACTCAAGTAATGCCAACAAATAGAAAGCTCAATTTAAAATTGTTGGATGGTCAGGAAACGTTGGTTTCATTCCTGGTAAAAAACGCTTCTAGTTTGTTATATGGTGTTAATAAGGCGAGCTAACAACTTATAATATATTTTGTAGTATAATACGAAAATACGCGCTCCATTTTTCTATTGTCCCTCCGATTCTATAGTTAGCGGTTGTTTCCTTACTTACAGATAGATCGCCACCATAAAACGGATGAATGACGAATGTCTCGTTTCCAATGTGTATGACGCCACTCACTCCGTTGCAAGTATGGAAGGCAGCGCTAGCACCTGGATAGTCCTTCACGGTCCCATGGTAATAACAGTGTTCGATATCCTAAAAAAGACATGACAATTTTATTTATTACGAAATTTAATAAAAAAGATTACGCTTGAGTATATTTACAAAAAGTCCGTTGACTACACATTTAAAACCAGAAAGGAAGTTAGTGTTCAGGGGCGAGCCTTTGAACTTGCAGCTTGATTGTTCCAAGCTTAGCCACATAATATAAAGATCTAATTTATATAATATTAAACTGGGTTATGCACATATGTATGTATATATATATATACATACATACATATACTTGTCGACACTTGAATAGGACACACCATTAGGTCAGTTTTCTATCACCCACTGCTTACAAACCAAGCACGTTATATTTATATTTATATTTCAATTTATATTTTAAACTGAAGTATATTTTGTGATCGTAATTTTACCAAACTAAACATTTAGTTCAAATGCTTAAAGTATTCCGAAAATTATCAAAAACCTAACACCGCTAATTCAACGATAACAACAATCACAATATAAAACGCTGTCCTGCTAGCCGCGGACAATAACAGCATACAATCAAAAAAGAAAAAAACCAAATAAATAAACGAGGAACTCATTGAAACTACTAACTCATATTCTTTTTTCACCCATTCATCTCACCCTTCACATCTCCACACACACAACAGTCTCTCTTTGTCTTTGACGAAGACGAGAACGCTGACTGGTATCTTTTGATAAATCTCTTTCAAGTGGCGGGCCTCACATGGGGACTGCTGTTGTTTTCGTTATTGCTCCGCAATCGAAAAGCGACATCGAGAGTCATAATGGTCGCGGTCTGTGAGGCCCGCCCAATTAACATCTTTAACATACATACCTGCAAAAAAAAAAACTAAACTCACTTTTATCTTATAGTTATAAGATGTCTCTATCAATTATATATAACCGGCTTGTTTAATAACTTACTGGACTTGCAGGTCCTAATTAAAGACCACAACCCTGACTTAATTGCTCTCCAAGAAACCCATTTAAAATACCCCGTCACATACTGTCTCCTTCACATATCCACAATTCACTACTTAGAATCTTACAGATATAAGTTCAAGCAGAAGAGCCCCAAAAATTATAGTAGGTGACCTAAACGCGTGGAGCCCCATTTGGGGTTCTGGCAAATCCAATCAGAGGGACTCTTCTTTTAGAAAATATATTGATCTCCCATAACCTAAGCTGACTTAATAACGGCATGCCTACTTACCTTTCCACCCATCAAACATTTACACACCTTGATCACTCAATGTGTTCTTCCCATCTTGTTCCAGTATCTTCTCCTTCACACTCAATAACATCTATTCAGGAGCTGGTCTTTCTTTAGAGAAATGCAAAATGCTGCACATAAGCATGTATGTGCAAAACATAATTACAACCCTTTAGATATAGATGTAAATAACAACAAAGTAATGCACACTAATACTTTAAGAATTCTTGGCCTCATGATACTATGCTGCACAACATTTCCGCTGTGAGCCCCTTTTTTTTGGGCTTTATAATTGTTTAAATTTTAAAATTCTTGTTTTCGTTTGGTTTCTATCTGCTTGTGAGCTGTGTGTGTTTTTATCTATTTGTGTTGTGTTATGTCTAACCGTGTTAAATGTAAAGAAAATTTAAAATTTTGTATTGTCAGACCGTGTTATTTAAAAACCGTGTAAAAACCGAATAAGGTGTTTCAAAGTTTTAACTTTCAAAACTCGGGAAAAGTAAAAAAAATTTGTTGTGCTTTCATATTTTTCTTGTAAAAGAGCTAAGGTGCAGCCGTTCGTCGGTTGTATCGGTTTGGCGTCAGTAGGATCCAACTAGTAATTAGGACAATCGTACCTCGTCAATCAATACGAAATTCGATATTTAGTCGTCGATCCGTGAGGATCGTTGCACACGTACGCAAACACACAACATATACAAATACGCTCAGAGTTTCAGCGGTGAATTCTTTCGTTTTCGCTTGTCACCATTGCTGTTCATTGTTGTTATTGTGTGTGCCAAGTGACGCGATGCTCTACATTAGTCGTGTATATTGGTTTTTTGACCTCGTTACCTCGTCCAACTAACTTTTTTTTACCACTTGGCAATTAAAATTATTATTTAAATCGGCCTTTCGTGGTCAGTCGATTGAAATGATCAGTGAGTTAGTTGTGCATTGAAAATAAATATGACCCCAAAAACCAATTATGTCAAAGGAATTCGGCGATTATCGGACCGATTAGAAGCTGGGAATATGGCGCTTTGGAGCCGATTAGGAAGTACTTTCAATTGTAACCAAGGAAAAATTAATATCGTTTATATGCGCATTGAAAATAGAATGTGTAATAAGTCGTTTAGCGAACGTTGCAAAGTCCCTAATGCGAAGGGGAAAGGCGAGCTTTAAACTTGGGTACATTGAGTTAGGCATAATCCAGGGACAGTGTTTCTGAAAACAGCTTTACGTAGTAGGGGAATCCTAGCTTTATATGTGTACAGCTGGTTGAAGGAATTTTATGTGCTGACGATCAGTACAGCTGGGGGGCGAAAGCAATGACCGCTGATGGGCCTAAAGAGGTAGCGGTCGCACGCATGGCGACCTCAAGCGGCAACCAAGGCGCACTCAATTGCTGTGCGGACAGCTGTCAAAGTCGAATGACAGGGTACAGGCAAAGAGGAGAAAAAGCTGACACCACGTCGCCCGAGAGTTTCCGGTTCTGGGTCTTTCTTTCTTCTGTTGGTCAGCAAGGCATTAAGTTTAGTGGCGCTCTCCGTATACACAGAGGAATAATTGATAAATTGGTGATATATCCACCCACCCCCAAAAATTCTTGGTGTGATTTTTATGCACAACTTGATCAGGGGTGACATAAACAGCCCTGATTTGTTGAGCCGCATAAACTTCACGATTCCTATTACTACAAATTTTACACCGTTGCTCCTTGTACTTTATAGATCGAATTATTCCTTGCATGAACCGTTTAGGGTCTTATGCTCGGATTATAATTCACTCAGCCATATTATATCCACCACTATTCTCTTCCTCTTTTTAAATTACTTATCCTAACACACCTTTCTCGTAATTGTAGTGGTATTTGTTTTTTGAATGCATGCCTAGTTCTCTTAGTACCTTTAGTGCTAATTTTCCTCGAATATTAGTCTAACAGCTATCTTTCCTGCATGCTCGCGTAACAGCCTTCTGCTAATTTCAGACGGGCCACTTGACGGTGCAGTAATTGCATCGCCTCTTGCCTCTTGTCAACGTCTAAGAATTTGAAAAAAGAGAGGATTTATAAAAGTAGAATTGGCCCACAGTTTTACATCAGGGTTCCCTAATCAGGGTGAGTACCTTCCCGGGCCCCCTAGTTCTTGGGGAGATCGCAGTTCTCAATCGTACGTTCTGACGTTCGTTTTTTTTATACCCGATACTCAATATGAGTATTGGGTATAGAGTATAGAGTATATTAGATTTTTGGTGAAAGTGGATGTGTGTAACGTCAAGAAGGAAGCATTTCCGACCCCATAATGTATATATTTAAAGATACGAGAAAACAAAAAAACGTAGAATCGTATAGAATGACAATATCTTTTAGACTGCAGAATCTGTTCAAGATCGTATTATTATTATAGTCAGAATGATGAAAACACACACAATGAGGCACGATCAGGCCCGTAAGAATAAACTCTCGATGGTGTGACGACTTCCCGCGGTGGTGAAACTCCCTGTGAGGGAAAATACTGATGGAGATAATCATATTTCGCATTCCGTCGAGACGATGGGCATGATTGCGTGTTTGGTGCCCACAATATCGCATACCATTTCCCTATAGCCTGAAACATTTTTATTTTCCTATCTTTATTCATTTTCCAAATTTATAATATAATAAGCTCTTTTATATTTTTAAGTAACTTGAAACTTATAAGTACATTGATCAATATCTACCCTTACCTATAATCATAATTTCTTAAGTTAGCTTCCCATAGTCTCACATACAAATTGCGGATTTGAATACTCAGAAATTAATTAATATTAGAAGATGAATATAATGAAATATACCTATATTTCGGGGTTCTTCCGTGAATAAACTTAATTTAGGTGCGGACCCGCACCTGAGCTTAGGCAGCAGACTCTTACCGGAACGGTTTTGGGAGGGATCTCGTTTGCTGTATGCCGCTTATCGCATGCAGCCCAAGACCGAACATCGCCTAGTACCCACCCCGATCTGACTGCAGTTCTTTTCCTCTCGCTTTATCCATCTGTTTTGCCCGCTGTACCGAGGTTCCCCTTTCCCCAAACCGCATTCCTTTGTACGCAAACTTTCGTATTTGTTGGTGATCAATGAGAAAAATAACCGACGGCATATTCCCCCATAAGCCAGCCCAGCCGGCCAGGGCAAAGCCGGAAAGCGCACGGTTAAACTAACACCTCTGTACGGTGAGGCTTGTAGCTACTGTGAGAAGGCCTAGGATTTTTGGGGTCCGCCGAAATTTAGGCACCGTCTATCGAGTGAAAAGAGAAAATTCTCTCTAACAGTTGGCAAAGAGGGTCTGGGATCAGAGAGTGGGTCAGAGCCAGGTCAAACTTCCTCGTCGAAAGGAGAGCGAAGTCGAAGTTCAACAAGAAGAAAAATTATAAATAGATGTAATTGGACGCCATTGCAGCACTCCAAGCTTGGTCGACAGCGTCAAGTGGTGTTCAACAAGTACCCTCTAAAGCGGCAGTTTGATTACATTATTAAAAAAAAAAGATAGAAACCCATTAAAATCAGTAAAAAAAAAGTGAGTTATATCCCAGGCAGTGAGGCGTTAGCTAGTGATATACACACTTTCGACGGGGCACCCGTTTGGGTAAGTTGAGAAAAAAAAAACAGCCAAGCGCAAGTGTATAAATGTGTGTTCCATGCGTCTGCAATTTGCCCTAGGCTGGAGTTTGGAGGAGTCTCGTCTTCCGCGACAACCAGCTGCAATTTACAGAAATTCGCCGGAGCGTTGGGTCGTCACTCACTTCGCCTTCGAGCAAGAGAGAAGGCCAACTAGTGCCCGGCAGA